ATTAGACTTTTATATTAAACATTTGTATTAGTTCGAGTAATTTGTATATGATAATTCTTGCACAATTCGGTGGCATGTTTGATCGAATCGTTACATGCACATATTTCAAATCAAAAACTATTAAGAAAATATTTATTCATATAAATTTTTTTCTAGGCGCCAATTGACTCCTGAACCCGTAATGTCATGAGTTGATGTCAATGATGCGTTTTCAGAAATAGTCGGTGCTATCAGTATTTGACATTGACCCAAACCGATTCGGCATTGAAAACTGCACCGTTACTAACATAGATGAATTTTGTGCAAATATGAACGCCAATTAAAAATTATTAATATTAGCACTCGAACTCTGATGAGCTTTTAAAAGACCTGAAGGTTAACAATTATTATGTTTGGAAATATTTAGTTAGCAATTTAATGATTTGTAACAGATTTATAGTGTGTTATAAATACAGGGTCAATCTGTACTATTTGGTAATATTTTTTTGTTTATTTAATAAAGACAAATAATACATATATATATATATATATATATATATATATATATATATATATATAGATGACCCGACAGACGTTGTCCTGCACCCACGTCTACAATTCAAAAATTCCAAGTTTTTTAAAGTATCCTATACTTTAATATCTTTTTTGATGTCTTCTCTTTGCTATTCATTTATGGTCTCCGCATAAGCAGTATAAGAAATTCAGAAAAAAATAATATAGAATTTGCGTTAAAATAACAATATCATACTTGATTTTACCGCTCAACATAATTGCCATAATAATTTAGTCTATAATTTTCATAGTCTCGTACGATACATTAGTAGCTTTTTGGCAATTATAATTTTTAAAGTACATTTATCTTACTAATAAATTAATAAACATTATTGATTATTGATTAATATTGTATATTTCTGTAAAATCTAGTTCATATGAGCATTCTTCAATCTAAGCTCAACTTGCTAAATATTCCATATCCTTGCTAAATATTCCAATAAACAAATTTTTGCCACGTGAAACAAAATTCTAAATCTTTTTTTTTAAATAAGAGAATTATTTTTTTGTATTTTTGAATAATTTAGTAAAGTAAACCAAAATGCGACATGCATAAGTTTAAAAAAATAATGTATATGCAACTTTGGACTTATTGCGCTATTTATCAAACTGAATTATATAATTTCATCGGCCAAATATATACTGTTGATTGTATCTTATATTATTTTAATATCTGGCACATTTCAGCTGGTTTTCGGCAATATTAATGTAGACATTACATTTTTCTTGTATATTAGATTCTAATATTATCTAGGCTCATAATTTCAGCTAAATTCAAATTTCAAGTGAATTGACATTTCTAGCAGATGACAATGTCAAACAATGATAAGTTTTTTTTGTAATTTTTTCATTTATTTTTACAATATTACTATAGTTTTATCGATCAATAAATCTTAATTTTTTTTTGACAAACTCTAAAAAGAATTATCAGAATCCGAATAAGTATCAAATCACACACCCGTACAGAAGAATTTTACATATAAGATAGACACATATATGTTATATATGTAGTACTATATAGTTCCATCATCAGACTTTCTGCGATTCGAATATTTTGCTGTTCATATCACATTATCAAGAATATATAGAGTACGGAGAGGCACAAAGGTCCAATTTGACTTTGAGCAATTAATTTGTGAAAATCAAACCAATTATATCATAACAAACTAACTATACATATCAAACAAACAACTATCTGACTATGTTCTAAAGTATTTTTCAGCTGTTTTTCAAAAAAATTCCATTTGATCCTTTTTAGTCTAAAAGCCGTTAATCAAGAATTGATAAAATTATTAAAAATTTTACCCTCACCTCAACGTTTTTGTCGATTTTTGCATCAACCGCATTGCATGTGCTATCTATCAAAGAGTCGTCAATTCTAATGAGACATTAGAAAGTTAAGCAATATACGATTTTATTAAAATTGTCATTGACCCGAGTCGAATAAAATGAATAGAAAACATTCGTCACAGACAGAAGACGTAAAATTGCGACACCCTGAGCGCCGTATGCGATTTTAGTCACATGTGATCGATTCTACATACGTGCCATTTGTAAGGTGGCGCCATGACTTTAAATTGACGATTAACAGATTATGAAATAATAGACAGATTTAAAACACTGCAGAATAATTTATTAGAGAATTTAATTACTATTCTTATTTTATAGCAAATCAGTAATTCTCCACAAATTCAATTAATAATTTTCCAGACACCAAGAATGTATCAGTAACACTACACTTGGAATAACAGTTTTAGACACAAAAAACATATTTATTTTTTTTACGATTTTCAATCATTCATATAAAATTATTATAAAAATCACCTGTATGCATCTGTATGCAAAACCCACCGATGTTAATATCAAACTACAAAATATTTAGTTATGTATATATGTATTGTTGTGTTTTTGCATCCCTAAGTGTCAAACCCTAACACACATCGCTGATCTTCAAACTACCTTTGTGTGACATCCCATTTATGTTCCTAAAGGGATGTCACTAGGATGTCACCATAGATAAAAGAAGAGTATATTTCATATCGCTGATCTTCAAACTACCTTTGTGTGACATCCCATTTACGTTCCTAAGGGGATGTCACTAGAATGTCACAAGGTACCTGAAGGAGATGTTACACCTTTTGCCGCACGAATCTCACGATTTATAGAGCTTTATAAAGCTTTATAGAGACTTTAGGCAAGGACCATTTTTTTTACAAGAAATCCAAAACCCTCTCTTGGTGTTTAAAATTTCAAATAGATAACGACTACAATATTTTACGAAATTGGATAAAGTCTCTTTATTAAACCTTATAATTTTTATCATTATACGTATCACTTTCTTCTAATAAATAATGTACCATTTGTTCTAATCTTTGATAAATATATGTATGTATAACAAATTTAATAGATTCGTTAAAGTCCTTTTCGTGCTATTTCAGCAGACTTTATAAATCATAATTTAAATTTAATGCGATAGCTAATAAATAACGAAGTGCAATTAGGATTTAACGAATCTCACGATCAAAACTGTAAAGCGAATTTTGTGACGAAATATTGTAAATTGCAAAGGTTTCGATATTACAAGTGCATCATTATAACGGATTTGTGGCCTCAACTAACGATACGTCTTGGAGCTGATGAAAAATTTGCTCTACACCTATTTTATTTTAGACCAAATATTACTCAGAGATATAGATAAATAGAGAAAAATCAGAAAAACACGTATTAAAATCTCAATTCATTTATAAATGAACTAACATTAATTTATGAATATTCTTGATATTCTCTACTGAAGACAAATAGTCTTCAAGATTTATTTAACTTTATTCATGCGGACTATGTTTACTCTATATTTAGTTTGAGATCCTAAAAGAAAACCTCAAATACGATTTCTCAATTAAATAATATAAATTTATATATTTTTTCATTATTAATATTAACCACGGAACCCCTACTTCAAAATTTATCACAGTTCTTCGTTAATGATTTAACTTTAAGGTCCAGCAATTATGTTTTATATAATATGAGAACATAACCTTTATAGATATATCTGCATTTTAATAAAAAACTGATTATTGACTTACGTAATCAGAATTATTAACTAAATTGCGCCTAATAATAGTATTATTAAAATGATTAACTGACTTGATATTTGACTTAGAAAAATAAAAATAGATTAAAACATTAATAATATGGTCTTTGTATCCAAAGTATGAGCTCTTGATTAGCCTTATTATAACATTATATGTACATATTCAAAATGTTAACATTAGAACCATAAAATATGAGTTGTTGAGTTGAGTAAGAGTGTGAGTAAAAATTGTATTCAAAATGTTAATTATAAAATTAAATTAATAAGTGTATTTCCCGCTTTTTGTATTTTAGCAATATGTTTAGAAACCGTTGATATGGAAGAGGACCAAATAAATAATATTACAATTTTTAATAATAAATTTTCACTAGTACAAGCACGTTATTTGCCAAATTCAATTACAATTTGTCGTGTATAATTGCTTTATCATAATAATTAAAATATATCATGCAGACAATTTTCTAAACAGTTTTTATAAATGTTTATATGAAATAATTAACTGAATATATAATTTTTCACTTATAACAATGACAAATCAACAAACATGTCAAGGTCTAACTTGAAACTAATTGAATATTTCAACTGATGGCCCTTTATTGTCCATCGATGAGTCGTTTATTTTTTTATCCGTTGCATTCGTCAAATCAAAAATATTATTAGAAAGCGATATCATAAACAAATAGGTTTAAAGTTGAAGGAAAATATTGATTATATGCTCAATAAATATTTCGTAATATTATTTAAAAAATAAAGTAATAATTTTATTAATCATAAAAGATGTAGAGATTTAATAAGAAACAATATGCAAAAAACAACTTCTTATTCTTTAATCAATAAATACTACCAAATTAATTTGAGGAAAATAATGTTTAAATTAATATTATGAGTATAATAAATAGTATGTTATTAAATATTATTAATAACACTTCTTACAGAATTATCAGCCATCATAATTGTCAATATATTACTAAAATAAAGCATTTAATCAATCAGGAAAATCCGCGATTGTCGTCGGCAATATTCGCTCAGACATGTGACGTCACATGTCACATTTGCGCTCGACTAGCAGTCCATGTGATATAAGGTCTATTATACAATAACAATAACAAGTAATTATACGGTGTATTTGGCAAGACTGCCTAGTCAAAACAAAATTTATCAAATATAGGAAATTTAGAAATAATTTCTCAAAAATTATACCTAATTGTATCCTCAAATTATTTTTTATTGTCAGTCAAGATATATAATTAAATCTGGAATAATTTATTATTAACATTAAATATGCAAATGCGTGCTAAAACAAAAGTTTCTATTAAATGTCAAACTGACAAATATATAAAATATATAAATTACAAATATGGTTCAGAACAATATTAAAGTATTTGCACGTATTAAACCAGAACGTTACAAAGAACCTGCATTGTTTGAAATTCACTCAAACAATAGTAGAGAAGAACTAGTCATATATCCTCCAAAACGAATGAACCGAAGTATAAAAAACTCACCTTTCAAATATAAATTTTATTTCGATAAGATATTTAGGTGCAACAGTGAACAAATGGAAGTTTTTCAAACTGTTGCAATACCTATACTGCAACAAATAAAAACTGGCTGCAATGGAACCATATTTGCTTATGGACAAACTGGTAGCGGAAAAACTTTTACTATGCTTGGATCTATTTTACCAAATTGTCACAGAGGTATTATTCCTAGAATATTACAAAATTTATTCAACGATAAATCAACTATGCGTGTTTCCTTGTCATACTTAGAAATTTATAAAGATATAGGTGTTGATTTGCTATCAAGGAACTGCCAGAAGGTAACTGTCCAAGAAGATGAGAAGGGTATGCATCTAAAACACTTACAAAAAGTCAATGTTCTCACTATTGCAGAAGCCATGAAAATTCTGCAAATCGGAGAAAATAATCGTAAGGTTTCGGGCACCAAATATAATACAAGATCATCCAGATCTCACTGCATTTTAACGATTCGATATGAAGGATCTTATAAAGGCAAGGTGGTACAATCTTATCTTCATTTGGTGGATTTAGCAGGATCTGAAAGATTCAAAGCACATCTTCGTGCTTCAGATGAATCAATCCATATAAACAAGTCTTTGCATTTTTTGGAAGTCGTAATAAACGCCTTGACTTATCCCACTTTGCACCATATACCCTACCGAAATAGTTTGGTGACATCAGTTTTAAAAGATTCGTTAAATGCTAATAGTTTTACATCAATGATAGCTACGTTGTCGTTGAGTGAAGAAAACGCCTTAGAAACTCTTTCTTCCTGTAGATTCGCTTCGAGGATGTCTAAGGTCAAAAACTGCAGAGTTGATGCTTCAAAACCAAGCAAAATCGATACCAAAGCTCAAATGTTATCCTTGCAAGACGAAGTTCAACGTTTACACGGTCTATTAGTTAAGGATACGACTATTAGAACTGAATGTTACAACAATGATTTAACAGATGAAGACAAAAGATATTGCGATAATGTTGTAACAAAATTTTTATCAGAAGACAATGACTCATTAAGCATTCCAGTCACGGAGTCCAAACACATTCAAGAATGTTTTCGGATAATTCGGAAGCGTGTTAAGCAATTTCAAAAAGATTTGTGCAATGAAAATCCCAAATTAATTCCAAGCAAAACAAAAGGTAATTATGAAACTACATACAATAAAGATTATACAATCCAATCCAGAAATGAAAATACGATCAAGCATAAAGACAATGATATTAAAAACAATTATGATGAACGACCCATTAGATCTAATTTCTTGCAGCCAATCGCAAATGATAACAAGAAAAACATCAGCAACTTTAATAAAACCAAAAATAAAACGATCTGTATGGATAACAAAGGAGTAATAAATTTTGATGAATATTTAGAAAATAATTTGTATAAGCCTAATAATTCATCTAGAACGTCGTCTAAAAAAATTAATACAACCAAGATTCTACTTAGACAAACCGATAGCATAATTTCTCAATCAAGTTTAAACTCAAGTAAAGAAAATAGTTTTATTTCTGTCTCTAAAATAGAAACTAATCCAAATAATAAAATTTCGACTAGAAGTATGAATGCACATAATAGTAAAATGACTCAACGATCAAATGATTCAATACAAACTAATATTCCAGTGCAGTTTCATGACAAAAATAGTGAACATCCAGGACCAAATTATTACCCTGTATCTGCCAGAAAAAGTTGTTCTCAAAACTCATTGAGACCTTCATATAATCGTAAACAAGTAGAAAAAAATAAAGTCAAAAGTCGTACAAATTTACATCAAAATATATTTGGGAACAACATTGATTTGAATGATATACAAAGTATTCAAAAAGTGGTAAATGAAATTATTAAAAAAGAGGTTATAAATATAGCAGCTAAATTACTTTCAGACAAAATATCTAGCCCACAATATTTAAATTTAGATGATAGCATCATATTTAACCAACGTCCACAATTTAGCTCAACTGAAAATGAACCAAGTAAAATAGAAGAACATTTGAATGATTCTTCATTTTATAAAAATGAAGTAGATTTTTCTGAACATAACGTTAGAAATTCTCTTGGCACAGTTCATCAAAATTTAGTAAACAAAAGTCAAGTGATTAATCATATCAGCCCACGGGATAATGCAAATTTTGATAATGAAGGAGGCAAAACTAGTTATAGGAATATTGTTCAAAATCCTAGCAGTTCTGAACCTAATTTAACATATACTAGAGTGCCTAAATGTGAGGATCATCTCATGCCAAGTGCTTCCCATCCAAGATGTCATGCAGACCTTGCCAACCATCAAAATTTTCTTAACTCGCAGATGCCAAAAATGGATTTTGCAGAAGCCCAAGGAGATTATTCTCTTGAGAACAAAAATCTTGGAAGCTTTGGCGATGATAGAGTTACCAACCCACTTGCATCAGAACCAGTATCACAATCTGAACAAAATATTATAGTATTGAAACCAACAATACCCTTGCCTAATATTCTTATGCAATATGCTCCTAGCACGAGTAATATTATGGACAAGAACTATAACATACCAGAAACGTATATTTCAAAATTGGAAGAACCTCATCCATTTTCGTGTGGCGGGATAACGGAATGTGCGCGAAATTCAAATCAAAATCATGATGTATTCATATTGAATACAAACTCGCCGATTCTAAATCATAATAAGATTTCGCAATCCGAGCAATGCGCGGCGTGGGAGCCGAAAGCATCCTTGAATGTTTGTGCTGATAATATTTCAAAGCAAAAACATTATATACTGCCAGGGACAGAATCAAAGGTGCCATTGACAGGTGATAAAGATATAGACGAAGAGATAATCAAATTCTACAAATGCAGAGAACTGGCGAAAATCACAGCTCATAGTTAGCATATGCGTGGATAAAAAATATTTACAAACATAAATGCCTTTTTCATACGACTAAGTGATATTAGGTGGTATGAAATCACGATTTTGTATCATGCTTGAATATATAGATTTAATGCAAATACAAACAATTTGTATTCAGCACAAGCAAAAATATATTTATATTTTTTTATTTGTTGATGCTTTCATTATTCATTCAGATTTATTATTATCAAAGGTGAATTTAGTACTTACGAGTATGTGTTTTTTTTAATTTGAACATAAATAAGTAATAGTTTAGTAATATAAAATTAACTTCCCGTAGGGTAAGTTATTGTAATCGTTCAAAAATCGAAATTGAAAATTTTTGCATATCTTCACGTTTTCAATGTTTCTGAGCATTTTGGCTTGCCTTAAAAAAATGGATGTGTGAAATTTTTTGTCCACTTTTTCGCGGATCAACCGATTTGAATGATTTAAAAAACATTGGATTCCTATTGATAGGGAAATGTGCTGATTAGAGTTTGGCAAAGGCAGGTTTAGCCGTTTCGGATATACGTAGGAAAAAAATATAAATCGAGTTTTTGAGAGAACGGATCATCCGATTTAAATGATCTAAAAAACATTGAACTCGTAATGATGGGGAGAAGTGGTGATTAGAAATAAGCATCCGATTTTAATGAATAAAAAAACGTTCTGCTTATATTGACAACACGATTATCTTTGGACAAAAAAAATTATTTTACTTTTTTCTTCATTTCAAAAAAAATTTTTTTTAATATAGAAAATTATTCTGATTCTTTAAATTTTAATTTGGTACAGAAAGTTCTATTTTCTGTATATAAGTATATATTAATCAAATAATGAATAATTGATTAATTAACAATATGTAGATGTTTTTACAATAACTTTATTGAATAAATTTAAAATCAAATTTACCAAAATTTAATTTTGAGTTTCAACACAGATCTACTGGACATTAGCAAAAATAATTATGAATTCCTTAAAATTTATTGATTATTTCATTTTTTATTCTGTTTTATTAATATGAAATTAGTGATTTTAATAATTTTGATACTATTTACAAATTTTTAAATATTGAGTGATAAATATTTAATATCAGTAGATGTTTTTACAAATAAAAATATGCTTCAATTTTGTAATGATTTGGTATTTATATAATTTTAATATTAATACATATTAATTAACTTCCCGTAGGGCAAGTTATTGTAATCGTCCAAAAATCGAAATTGAAAATTTTTGCATTTCTCGACGTTTTGAAGGTTTCTGAACATTTTGGCATACCTCAAAAATGGATGTGTGTGTGTGTTTTGTGTGTCCGCATTTTTTCGTTCACGTTTTCGGGCGCACGGATCAACCGATTTGAATTGTTCAAAAATCATTCGATTTCTATTGATAGGGAAATGTGCTGATTAGTTTTTGTGAAAGGCAGGTCCAGCCGTTACGGAGATAAAGAGCAAAGAGTTCAGAAAATAGAAATCGAGTTTTTGAGAGAACGGGGCATCCGACTTGAATGATCTAAAAAACATTCAATTAGTAATAATTGGGAGAAATGGCTATTAGTTTTTGGCAAAGGTAGGCCCAGCCATTTCGAAGATACAGAGCTAAATATACAAAAAATGGCAGTTTTTGAGAGAAATAAGCATCCGAATTGAATAATTCAAAAAACTTTCTGCTTGTGATGACAAAACAATTGCTTATGGATTTTTTTTGTATTGAAAATAATTCAGATTTCAATTCTAATTCAGGCTAGAGTTTTAAAGCTCACTTTTATACTTTAAATAAATAACTTTAACTTTGCAATTCAGTTTATATGATTCTTATAAATAAATATTAAACAATGTTACAGTATTTATAATAATCTGTAAACATTTAATATTTCTCGAACATTTCGTTACGGTACAGAAAGTTCCAGCAATTTGCCTTTAGGCACGACGCCATGCGCCCCACTAGTTAATTATTTATATTAATACAACATAATAAAAATGCTAATAACAAAAACATTTTGAATGATCTCTTACTTTTTATTTTCGAATGTATGTTTGTAAAAAAATCAAGTTAAATAGTTATAATCTTATCCTTTAATGGGAAATTTAATCACGGTTTGTTATAATATTACAGAGTACATTTTAATTATCGAAAATGAACTTAAAAAATTTTAGATATGTAAAATTATTTTATCCAGAATGATCCTGAGAAATTACGCCATAAAAATAAAATTCAATTAAAAATACAGCAGAGTATAATTTAAAAAATTTAATGTAAAGTATTTCCATATATTGGGAAATCAACGAGGTCAATATCATTGCAAAAAAACAGAAGAGGAAAAATTCTCACAAATCAGACATATGTGTATTCTACAAATATAGATGTTATTGTTAGATAATATGTGGTGTATTATATAACAAATTCAATGTCAGTTTGCAAATGTAGAAATCATACGGATATTTGAATAGTCTAACAAATAAATATTAAACTTACGTATTATATTTGTGTATAATATGGAAGTAAGATGTAACACTGAACTCACAAAGATATTTTTATAAGGTTAAAATGCTTTAAACAAAAATGGAAACAATAAAAAAAAATATTTTTGAATTTTTGCGATTATCGCAAAATATAATAATTTATTTAATTTGTATTACTTAGTGTTTCAAATGATTAATAATGAATTGCATTATTATCATAAAATAGATATGCAAAATCCTAATTACTCATATTTCCATATGTAATATATTATCGAATACATAAATCTTTTCAATCAAACAAACTAAATCAAATCATCCTCAAATCAATATGTATTACTAAAATATAAAACGAATAATCTATATAATTTTGAATCAAATACACTACATTTATATTTTAGGAAACTGAAAGCAGAAGCACAGGACCATGAAAGCATGGGATCAGAAGTTTGGATGCATAAAAATGTATAAAAATGTGAATTATATTATTTGTAATAAAAATAATAAACATTAAGGAATTCTACTTTCCTTATCTAGTATCTTCAATTACCATTTTATAGGTATTACACGTTTTTATGCACTTTTATGTATCCAAACTTCTAATTCCATACTTCCTGGTTCTTGTCTGATGTTCTAGTTCCTCCATAACCAATGATTTTTTGATAGAGGTGCTCTCACACCATGGACCTGCCTTTAAGCACACAACCATTTATTATTATCATAGACTTCATAGATGACTAAAGAACCTTTATATCAATTTCATCCAGTAGTGCACTCATCTCTAGAAAAAACGTTTCCCTTCTATTTTCATTACGCGTTTGTGATGTAACGAATTTCTCACGATGTGACATACATAGAAGTTACAGATTACACCTGCAACTCATCTATAACATATATTATGTCATTTACTCTCTTCTATCGTTGTATCATTTATTTATGCATTTTCACCTAGAACACATATGGTTCAATATGATTCTGTGCCACCATATCTATCATGCATGTTTTTGCTCTCTCCAATTTGCATAAAGAAACACTGGAACGCAAATCGAGACTATTGATTTAAAAGAGCCAGTAATGGACTAATGGTAAAGAACATGAGCTAGTTAATTCTAGCCCCTAAACCTCGGCTTGCTTAGTATCAAGCAGTATGATACCAGATTTACACTGAAGATCATGGATCCCAAATATGATGTCAAGTGAAAATAGCCTTTGCGGGGCGACATACATTCATATATGTATATATATATATATATATATATATATATATGTAGTATTTTTGCAGCCCAACCGTCGAATTAAAAAAAAGATTAAATAACAAAATTATTAAACCTTGAACAGTGCACACAATGCTATGCTACCAATAATATTAAATATAGGAGGGCAATATGTGCTCCTCCTATTTCTCGTTTGTTAATATAATAGTATTTTATTTTTTTACACAAATTTAGTGTTCAATCAATTTTACATCATAATTAATGTTTCCTGTTTTTCCTGGTTTGGTATGTATAATTTCCTCCTTTTATATATTTATATTTATCATCATCTGTGTATTTATGTTAAATGTTTTTTTAGATACTGAATAATGACACACATCAAATGTCGAAACGTTTAATAGAATAAATAATTTTGTTATTTAATCTTTTTTTTTAATTCGACGGTTGGGCTGCAAAAATATTACAAATATGTATCAACGTCGACAAAACTATCATCATACATATATATATATATATATATATATATATATATATATATATATATCTTATATATAAAAATGGAGGTCTTGATAAAATTATCCGCTAAAACCCGTAAACGGCTAAACCGATTTGGCCAGTCTTAGCCTCGAAAAACTCGTGCTTATCAGTGGGTTGTCGCAAAGATAAGATATTATTTCAAAATCGCGTAGAAACTTTACATTTTTAATTTGAAATTTTTTGTAGAAGCGTAATTTTACTAAAACAGTGAACGGTGGCTAATACGTTAAATGTCAAACGTTTTTGACAGATGATGTTCAATTACGTTTAAAAAAATGTTTTACGTGAATATTATTTAATTATGATTCAATTGTGGTAAGTAGTTTCTTTGTAGTTTTATTTATACACAAAAACGTTATTAAACGGGCCGCCATATGAAAATGCAATTTTTGGTGTTGTAGCACTCTATTTTTGCAAATCATATTTTTCTCAAACACGATGCTCTGAAAGATCATTTGCATAATTATATACTCATTGGTATTTATAAAACATTTGCTAAGTTATATTATTTTTTATTTATGTTATTTAAATTTAGAACCTAAATTTGGTATCGATCAAAGGGACATTTTGTCGAATAACATTTTTCCAGTTAAAATTTCCCAGAATTTATCGAAGAATAGATTGTAATTTATGAAGGTCTAAAATGGATTGTAATTTATGAAGGGGTTAAAAAGGTCCACTACCAATGTGTCAAAAAACAGTAAAGTTAAGCATTGTTTAACAATATTTGAAAGTAGAAGGAAAAATATGTGAGGAGAGCTATAACCAAGCTATCGGGAGATAAAAG